GGACCTCGGGATGTTCGACTGGGAATGGCTGGACGCCTCTTGAGGGTCCTGCGGAAGTGACTCCAGCCCCCAGGTTCCCCAAGTGAGTCGTTCTGAGAAACCCGATTGGACGACCTCGTCTCCAACCCACTGACGGGAGAGAAATGGGGCAAGAAGGCCTGCAGCCTGGGGTCCCCCCTCCGCAAAGTCCTGCACCCCAGGGGAAGGCCCTGTTCTTGCAGGTGACTCCCCTTCTGGGAGGGAGGGGATCCGGCACTGGTGTGCGGCACTGGCTGAGCTACTCCGGAAGTGTTCCCGCGCTGCCCAGCCATTGCATCAGGCTGGTAGCGGGCACCAGATCTCGTTGCGGCCCACGCTCCGCCTCCTCCCCACACCTCCTAACCCCCGCCCACACGTGAGGGGTGGGAGTGGGTTCCCGAGAACCCCTGCAGCTTCTGATTGGGTACGCCTTCCTCAGCCGCCGCACCAGAGGCTGGGGCACAGAGTTACCATAGTAACCGGTGAGGTTCGCCCAGATCGCTTCTCTCCAAGGCCTTGGAGAGCTTAGCAACCACGCGGGGCTGCTGGGCGGATGGGGCCGCGCTCCCTGCCCCCCCCCCCCCCAACCACCACCACCTTGGGGGTCTCAGCCCCCAATTCCCTCTAGTGGCTGAGTCATTCATTGCGGGAGCGCGGGCGGGGGCCACTCTCGATCCCAGACAAACACCAAGGGCTCCATAGCCCCCAGAAGGCTCCCTTTCCTCCGCAGGCGACTTCATGGCCTCACGCCAGGCGATGGCTACGGGTCTCTGCAGGTCCTGCTCGCTCTCACCGCATCCCGAGTCCGCCCTCACCCTGCTTTCACTCGTGTTCTGGGTCATTCTTATCCCAGTTCCTCTCCTCCGGCTCCCCGTGGTGTCCTCGCTAGGGAAGCGGTGAGGTTCCGAGAATGAACACGGTGGGCTCCGGAGCTGCCAGCCTCTACGGGCAGAGGGCATGCTGTCCGCTGAGAGGGAGAGCCGGGGGAGAGGCGGGAGGGCTCCTCAGAAGTGTTCTTAGAGCTGGGCTTTGATGATGAATAGGAGCTCCTTCCCCAGGCAGGAAGGCATTCCTGAAGAGGACACGCTCTGGGACAAAGCCTGGAGCAGAAAACGGACTCAGGGGTGGCCAGATTCCCAGAGTGTGAGAACCTCCCCGGCCCGTCTCTGCTGTAATCTTTTATCCTCTTGAGGGGCCAGATCCTAGCGCCACAGGAGCCCTCCTCCTGTGCCCTTGGCCAGAATCGAACCTGGGACCTTTCAGTCCGAAGGCCGGCGCTCTATCCATTGAGCCAAACCAGCTAGGGCCTTTTTTGGTTTTTAAATATATTTTTATTATTTCAGAAAGGAGAGGAGAGGGGGAGAGTGAAACATCAATAATGAGAGAGAATCCTTGATTTGGCTGCCTCCTGCACGCCCCACACCGGGGATCAAGCTCGTAGCTTGGGCATGTGGCCTGACCTGGAATCAAATCGAGACCTCCTGGTTCATAGGTTCACTCTCAACCACTGAGCCAAGCCAGCAGGCTTCTTGTTTTTCTTCAACACTCTTGCCGATACCCCATTTCTAAGTCAACTTCCTGCCCCAGCCCCTACCCTCAAGCTGCCCTTATATCTGTATGGAGGGCCTTACAGAACTGCCCCCAGCCTAACTGCCCTCCTGCGGATTCCACTCTCCCATCTTTGACCTCTCCCTCCCTCCCCAGTTCCCCCCGTCTGGCCTGGCCCTGCCCTCTCCCCACCCCAATCCAGCTCCTCTCTCTGAACACATTCCCTCCCCCATGTAGAGCCCTCCTCAACCGAGGAGTTAGGTTGGGCCAGGATCACTCATTTCCCTGCTCCTGCCCAGGGGAACTCTGCCCCACAGGGCATGTCCCCTTCCTGCCGATTCTGCCCTCCAGGAACTCCAATTCTTCCCGGAAGTGGGCTCTGCTCTGCCTCTCTGCCAAGCTGCTGAGCCCCGGGTCTCCTTCGCTCATTCTTCCGCTCATAGGAGCTCTGCCAATGCCCATTATTCCACAGATGGGTCCTAAACTCGGCCCGCGGGGTGCCAGGCTCTGAAACTGACGCCGCCAACCTGTCAGCCCCCCTCCACTTGCTGAGGCTCCTCCCCCCTCCCCCCACTTCTCCTGACACCTTTTGCCCAACTTCCCCACAGAGGACCCCCCCCCCCATCCCCCGCTCATTTCTGGGCAGTCCAAGGGCCTCGTGCCTGTCTGTCCTCAATTTTCCTGCCTTGCCTGGGGTCTCCAGCTCCCACTGGTACCTGGACCCCCACTGGGCATTCCCTCCAGGCCCAGCCTCCTCCTGCAAAGCCTTCCAAGACCCCTGAGCTCCCCACTTCTCCCGCACAGCACAGCTCTGGATGCTGCTCCGAGGGCCCAGCTTCCTCTCCTGCCCCCACCCCAGTGATCCACGCCTCAGGGGCTCTGGAGTATAACGCCGCCACCGCGGGGGACATCTTGTGACGTCACCGAGCCCTTGGGTCCAGGACCCGAGGTGTGAGAGTGGGGACTGCCGGGTGAGGACTGGAAGGCCGGGCGGGGTGGGGCTGTGTCCCAGAGTGGGACCCGGCTGCCCTCCCACGCCACCTCCCGCAGGCCCCCAGCCCGCAGTTCCGGAAAGTTAACCCCTTGTAGACGGTACGGGGGGCACGGGCTCCCCTCCCTGTTCCTGCTTCCGGGCGCCCTCCCCATCGCCTAGGTCCCCACACCCCCCCCCCCCTTCGCCACTATAAATAGCCCCAATTCCCGTTTCCTAAATTCCCTGCTGACGTCGGCAGCACGTCAGTGTGTAGGAGCCCGGCCGCATGAATGAGCCGCCACACGAGTACTACGCGCGGCTATAAAAGCCGCCGCGCCAGCCCGGCTGCGTCAGGCTAGCGCGCGCGGGCGCGAAGCGGCCCGGACAGGTAAGCAGGACCTATCAGATCTACGAGCTACAGACA